GGTCTCTGAAGAATTTATTATTGGGCTTTTTTAATCCCACGAAAAGGTCGCCAATTGAACAAACAATTTATGGATAGATGGATGAATTATTTAACGGTGCAAACCCCCCCTCGCTTCTTCCTTACACCGAACAAATATTACCTCCACCCCTGGAAGGCGATGAATAATTTAGACATCGAGGTGAGGAAGTGTGGGGGAGGGGGAGGGGGGGCGCGTCTTTGGTGAAAGCTATTACACAGCACCCTCAACCTCAATATAATAATGTCATCGACTCAAAATGTGGCCTAACCTCCCAAATGAACGGTCAACAGAGCGAAACTGTTGGGCCGACCAATTATTAGCATTTATTTTAAGCCTTGTTAAAAAGAAAGCAGGGGAAGGGAGGGGGGCTACAGATCACCGACAACCACAGGAGACCATTAGTACGACAATTTCTGCCTATAAGTGACACGTTTCTCCACATAATTCAACGTACAGCCACACAATGACAATTTTCGACGGTGTCGCCTTGGCGGTGGCTCTTCCTCAGCCGTCCCTGTCAATTTCAGCAAACTTAAAATGAGGCCATAATTATATGGGCCGGTGCATCTTACGGCCAACTTATTAGGTAGTATAAATTTGAACCGGTGAGGGGGAAGAAGAGAGAGAGAGGGTTATGGGGATATTTGATTTATGGCCCATRGAGGAAGATAAATCTAGTCCAAGTCAGCATTCACCATCCACTATTAAAATTAGTCCAGTAATGAAGCTGAGCTAATGTGTTTCACTGATAAAAATATGGACGTTACGCCCGTTCTTTTGAAACTCAGGAATTAATTTGAGGTTTATATTACAGGACCAAAGCTTGGGTCGTTTTTGTTTTAAAGTAAATGTAAAGATGTCTATAGTTAAGGGTGCCAATGCATAACGATTGAAGAAAAACAGACAAATTATACATGAGAATGTACAGCTTGATAAGGWATAATGATGGTTTGGTGGCAGTACGTTAAACAAATTTCGCAGAATTTGCAATAAAAATCTCAATACGTTATAACAGGATTTTGAAAAAACAACTCAGTCCTTTTTAGCAAAAACGTTTAAAGTTTAAACGACTTACAAAAAGGTTGAACTTTACATGACTGCACTATATTAGTTTTTATTAACACTAAAACGTCCCGAACAGTGCAGTAACTATGCCCTGTACGCGGCACCACTTAGACACGGCTCCTGTGTGGAGAGTGCCTAAATATTCTAAACTTTTGTGAGTAAAAACAACATTTTAGTACATATTATACATCAAAACGTATGCAGTTTAAACAACTTTTGATCAGAGTGCCAATCACTCCTACAGGACTTACAGCTTTTTCTCAAATCCCTTCTGAGAGCAAAGAACACATACCCAAAAGACTTCAATTGTATTTTAGACCGAAGTTCTCTAAACAAACTCTAATGGTGTTATTATGTCATATCTTCTACAAAAAAAAAAACAAAACAAAAACAAAAAAAAAAACTTAGCAGAAAGCAAAAAAATTCACATGCGTGAGCATAAGTTTCCTGTCTGTCATGCGTTACGCATTTCTAACTCTTGTTTACACTACAGCTGTTTGAGGCTTACGTTTTAGTCAGCATTTCTGCCTTCCTCGCGTAATGGGTGTGGTTACCATGTGGCGACCACATCAAGGCACTGGTTTCAGTTTTTACAATTTGTTTTGATCTTAAACATAGTGATTTTTCTCTTCAAAACCTGAAGTCACAGGTCTTTTTAACGTGTCATACCTCCTACATGAAACACATCAGAAGAATAAAAATTCACACGTGACCACSAGGGTCTTCTATTGCTCAAGGTTCAAGGATTTATAAAATTCGACTTCTAGTTGTCACACAGCAACTGTTTGCTTGAGGCTTACTTTTTAGTCAGGGTTTCTGCCTTCCTCGCTCGAGAGTGCTGTGGTTGCCAAAGTGATCATAGTGCAGTACTGGCAGTAGCTTTTTGATCATGYACCTCTTACACATCAAAATGTTGACTCCAAGTAGAAAAAAACTTTGACTATTTCAAAAACATCATGTTGGCATGCTTTTTAATTTCCCTCTGAAATGTTCTAGTTTAAGAAAATTTTGGGAAAACATTATTTTGTACTCCACCCTATGTTACGATAACATTGGAAGGTTCAAATAACTGAAATCTGTTCTGACTAATTACTTGAAGCCTAAAGCTAGTCTTTCGTAGCTTTTATAAAACTTGCTATTTAACAGCAAATGAGTCACACCAGCCTCCTTTACGAAACMTGACAATTTTCGTTTACCGCCGTGCTGACGAGCTTTAAAAACAGGCCAAACCATTAAATAACAATTTAATTCATAAAAAGATATTCAGAACTACAATTCGGCTAATAAAAAGTTGAGTCAAACAGCAAACAGGTTCGGGGTACGGCCTRATTTATCAGCCCGGGAAACGTTAGCGCACGGTCCGCTGCGGCACAGATAGGTGGAACATCAACAGACCAAAGCAGGCCTGAAAGTTATTGAATTATTGCATTATTGTACAGCTGCTGTTTGGATTTTCAAAGCAAACGCGGCCGTACAGGCACGACGGATTTGATTTTGAATGTATCTTCTTCTTACGAGGTGCACGGGGTTGTTTATTTTCTCTCCCCCTGAAGGGGGAGCGTAAAAGGTGGAGGAGCCACATTTGGTTCGTGTCGGGGGCTAAGCTAACGATCCTTACCTGGCCGAACACCGGCGCCTAGAGCTGACACAAGCCAGCAAAACACGACACGCTCCCCGCTAACAKGCTCATGATAACACGTACCCGGTGGACGTGATCGGTACCGACCTGGTGAGTGAGCGTGATGCTGCAGATATTTAAGCCTTACCCGTTTTAGTTTACAGTCGGTGAACAGCCGTTGTTCTTACGGAGGGTGAAGTAGCTCCTGTTTGTGGCGGAGTGAAGGAGACGCAGCTGCCAGCAGGCATGTATGGCAAGCCGGTTTACCATTTAATATTTTGGCTTTTCAACAGTGGCGGAGCTAGACCTTTATGAGGAATGCCAAAGGCCTTTTTGGTGGGTGGGATGTTGTTATAAAAATTTGGTGCCTAAGGCTGCGTTCACACAGCAAGTCTTAATTCTGAATTCCTTTTTTAAACATGGCTTTTGGGTGATTAGAAGACCTGTCCTGCAGCCAGGTGAGCCTTATGGAGGTTTGGAGCAAAACTCACGTCGGCTGCATTGACTTGGCCTTAAATGTCTGATCTAATTTTTCTTCTGTTTAGCATTGTCACAGTTGCCAGACAACAGAACGTACAGCAGGGTAAGGACAGGAGGCTAGACCGTCCAAATTCACAGCCACTTTTTTCTGGTCTTTGTGGTCTACCAAGGACCCGGCCCACCATCAAGGTGGGGGTTTACGTTGAACAAAATAGCATTACACAAAGCCAGTATCTTTATGAGATTACAAGTTCTCATCCATCCATTCATCTCTCCTCCATCCATCTGGCCATCCATCCATCATCTTGTTCCAGAGTCAGGTCTTGGGGGCAGCATCTTGATCAGGGAGGTCCAGACCTCTCTTTCCACAGCCACCTCTTCCAGCTCTTCTGGGAGGACTCCAAGGTCAGTACTGCTAATGACATCATCAGCCTCCCCCCGCCACCTGAATTTATTTTGAAATTTTAATATTTAATTTAACTAGCAATTTTTTCACCTCTCTTATGAGATGCCATACTCAAAATAAATAAATTAAATTAAAAAATTAAAAAACGGCTGGAAAAGTGGTTCATATTCTGCATCACCGACACGCCGAGTCAGGTGCGCAAGCCTTAATTTTTTTGGGTATAAAACCCCATCCACCCCCAGAACAGTTCCTTGKGGGGAACACTGAAGGTGTTTTCAGACTAGCTGAGAGCTGTCTCTCTTCACCACAACAGTACATTCAAATAAACACATGTGTTGAATTTACTTAAACAAGTGATGTCAACAATTTCCACTCAACTGAGCTGAGTAAGTAAAGCAACTTTCACATTTTTTAAATAAATGTTAAAATTGCTTTACACAAATTCAACTCAATTGAGAAACACAGTTGATAGTCTTCTTAAAACACATTTTATCACATTAATAGTTTCTTGTGCCAAGCTGAACACAGTTGAGCAAATAATTATACTACTTGAAAATAAACAACAACTAATTCTGTCCTCAAATGAAAATGTATTTCATCACACAAATTGAGGCAGAATGAGCTCAGGCTGCTGTGCAAAAAAAATATATTTGATTTTTGCAGTAACAAAAATTTGTGCAAAAGYAATTCCAAGAAACCATTTTGCAAACCAGGTAACAAAAACAACTGTACTGCAAGACATATGAATGATAGTTATCATATTTATAGTTAATTGTTTTACAGTCTATTCAATGAACAGTTTTAAAAATACCTAATGTACAAAAGTTTTGATGTTGCCATTCACTGAAAAAAAAAAGTTTTTATTTTGATGCAAACACAACACTCACATCAGTATCATCAGTCTATGTGGCCGCCAAGCTCGCTGAGAAAAGTCCACCGTGATTCCAAACATATGATAGTCCTTTTCTATATATATATGTGTGTGTGTGTGTGTGTGTGTGTGTGTGTGTGTGTGTGTGTTACCTGTCAAATATAAAAATAGATAAAGTTTTAGGAAATTTCAACTTAATTTTACCTCAAATTGTCTTAGCAGTGGAGAACTCAAATTTACTTTTTTATTTTGATGTTTTTTATGTTTTTATCTGTAAACATGTCCTTAGTAGCAGTGCTATTATAAGTGTTTTCAAACTTAAGTAKTGTGGTTTGATTATGTGCTACAACGGTCTGCCATACTTTCTAAACGCGGGTTATTGGACGTCGCGTCGTAAGTTTTTATCGCGGGTTGTTACGGACGCTTGCCGTGGAAGTTACAGCGACTGTTGTTTCATTAATGTAGCTTCAGCTCTTCATTCAGCTCCTTTACCGGGTAGGAAAACCACAAATTAACAAAAATAACGTTTTATCCTGTTACAAGCTTAGCTATCACGAACTTATCGGCTTGAGTCTGAGACCCAATAACACCAACACAAATAGAGGTATGGTGGCTCTGGCGCAGTTGCAGTGGAAGTTGCGTCACTATAGGTCATGAATAAAAAAATATAAATGTGCTATATGAAAACAAATTTGAGAAATTTGAACATTTCTGTGTCGTAACTCGTTTTTTTTTTTTTTTTGAATGCCAGTGCATTTCCGGTAACGTGCTTTTATTTTTGTCAGCCTTGTTTCTTGACTTCCKGTTTTGGCGAACACTAAATACTTTTTCGTATTCAAATTTACGTGTTAAGTTAAACTGTTATGAGACATTTTAAAGGTAAGGAATCCCTTTRATTTTTATTAAAAACGGAAATGTGAAAGATATAATTTGTGACACGTTTTTTTAGAATATAATATTTGTGCCTATTTGGTAACAAATTTTGGAAAACTGATTTCATATATATATAT